CTTTATCTTGACTCCAGGCTTCCTCCTCATCTTCAGAGCAAAGTAGATAAAAAAAAGAATATCCAGGTTATCTGCATCTCACTGAGTTGTTAGTGGCTGGACAAGAACTTTACTTGTTCTTTCTCTGATTTCTTCTTTCTCATTAGGATTTCCTCAAATAGGTAGGGGATGCGTCTGGGCTTTTTTGTTCTACATAAAGTAAAAAATTACATTAATGTATTTTTTAAAAGAGTATCTCTGTTCTATACATAATGTACTTGGGGATGTTTTAAATGAGAATTATCTCACTATGCTATTTATTTCTCATTGCAATTTTTTTTCTTAGCACTATTTGCATTCTGTTTATTCTTCATACTATAACTAGTGAGAAAAAATTGAAGGAACAGAATATTTGCATGTTCTCCAAGAATCTCCCTGTAAATGACTTATTAATTGCAAAGGGAAAGAATAGTAATTTCTCAGTGGAGAGACCTAGTAGACATACTTTAGCCAAGTACTCAAAGTTAATGTCACCATCAATAGGACAAACCATTGTTATGTGTTTCCAGATGCAATGTACTGAGAAAGATGTATTCCTGCCAAAAGTGTATGACTTGAATCTACTTGTGAGGAAGAATTGGGTAGATTCAAACTGAGGAACATTTTGTAAAATAACAGTCTCTATTCTTTGAAAAACATGAAAGGCTTTAAAAAATGAAAGAAGATTTAGGAACTATTCCAGGAGATTAAAGGAGAGTAAGGAGATATACTAGTCAACACAGTGTAAGATCTTGAATTGGATCCTGGAACAGGGAAAATATGTTACTAAAGACATTAATAGAACTTCAGAATTTGAATGTGGATTGTAAATTAGATGATAATCTTGAATCCATGTTAACTCTACTGGGTTTGCTAATTGTACTGTAGATAGTTAAGAGAATGGTTTAAGAAAAAGGAAATACACAGGAAAGAAAGTTGGAATGAAATGGCCTGATCTCCACAATTTACTCTGAAATGGTTCAGAAAAAAAAATGTACTTATGCAGAGAGAGGGATAAGGCAAAGTTGGGGAATGTTAACATATAACAGAATTCTGTGGATAATCCCTACAATTTTTCTGAGAGTTTATTTCAAAATTGAAAGGAAGAAGGAAAGAAAGGGATGGAAAGAAAAAGAGGAGGAGAAAAATAGAGAAAGAGAAAGAGGAAAAAAAGAAAAGGAAAAACAGGCTCCAAGAAAGAGATTTATTGGGGCTGGGGCTGGGGCTGGGGCTGGGGCTGGGGCTCAGTGGTAGCGCATTTGCCTGGCATATGTGAGGCCCTGGGTTTGATTCTCAGTACCACGTATGAATAAATAAAATAAAGTCTATCGACAACTACAAAAATATTTTTTAAAAAGGAGATTAATTGTATGTTCCTCCTCCCACTGGTCCATTGAAATGACCATTTTGTTGATAACCAATTTGTTGCTGATCCTTGGATGTTCCCCAATAGTTATCTTTTTGACTTTTAAGAAATATTTGAAAGCATTTACCATTCCTTCTTTTCATATTTGCTCTTTCTATAACTTTCCTGAAAACACACTTCATTTTCTAACCAGTCTCTTTAGAGGTTCTTCCTGCATTCTCTGCCTTTTAAATGTTGGTGGTTTCCTTCGAGTTCCACTCTATACTATCTCCTTAATCTACATATTTTTTCTGTGTGTCTCACCTACCCCATAATCTCTGTCTCCAGCTCAGCTCTCTGTTGGGTTTCAGACTCATATATACAATATGCACTGGATTTCTTTGGTTATTCCACTTGGCATATCAAAATCAACCTATTCCAAATCGTTATGTTCCTTGCTGTATTAGTCAGTGTGTAATGTTACCATAATGAAATACCTGACATAATTAACTAATAAGGAGAAAAAATTTTATTTTGGCTCCTAGTTTTGGAGATTCTGGTTCAAGATTGGGTGGACCCATTGCTCAGAGGGTGGGAAGTCACAAGGCCCTGGTGAGGAGTGTGTGGTAGAGCAAAATTGCTTACATCATGATCCAGGGAGCCAAAGAGAGAGTGGAAGGGGTAGAGTCCCACAGTCTCCTTCAAGGAAGCCCTCCGTATGTCCTTGTTATCTCACACTAGGTCCCACACCTGAAAGGTTCCATCACCTCCTAGTGTTAATACACTGGGCACCATGTTTATAACACATAGGTTTGGGGGGACTCTTTCTCCTAACCACAGCACTTATCTTCCTTGATCTTGCCTTTGGTCTCCTCAAATCTGGTTATTTTTTAGTATACTAAAAATGGTACAGATGTCATGCTTCATCACACAGCCTCCGGTTGCCTTTCTTTCTATATCTGCTGCCACTCTCCCACTGCTTTCCATGAAACTGAAATGCTTTTAGTTTCCCAAAGATGCTAGATACTCTTTTTTTTTTTCCTCTTAAGATTTTTACATCTGTGGTTCTTCAGCCTTGTCATGAACCTTACTTCTTTCTGCCTTCTAGGTGACTTCTACTCAAGTTTCAGATGGTTGCTGTGGTTCATTCCTATGTGCAGCTTCTCATTCTCCTCAATCCATGTTCATCATGAGCATCCTGTAATTTCTGTAGTATGCGCTTATCACACATACATGTGTCAGTCCCTGGCCTTTGTTCTTCACTGGGTAATAAACTCTAAGAGATTAAATCTGCCTGCTTCATGGTCCCATCCCTAAGGTTTAACATACTGCCTACAAAGTAGTAGATGATCAGTTAATGTTTTAAACACATGGATAAGCAATTATACACATGGTGAAAGCCAATATTAGAGAACCCTCTTATTTATGTACATTTGCCTACTGAATTATAAGGAAACCTAGAAAACAAACATCAGTCTAAAATTTTAGGCACAGAAAATGATTTTCTGGCTTCTGCCTACCTCTTATAGCCATTTACTATATTTTGGCTGCAGTTACTTAATATGAATTCACTTGTGCAGCTTCTACACATTACTTCTGTTCTTTGCTCCAAAGCATCTGAGTAGCTCTGATTCCTTTTCCATGTTTTCATCATTTAAATAGTTGAAATCAGTTAGTCAGCTTCCTCCTATTCCTAGTCTTTTCTTCAGCAAAATACCCTCAATCCATTCAACCATTATATGTAAAAAGTTGCCTTATGTTATTCATATGATTTTACCAATGTCTTCTATAAATAATGTCTCCCACAAGTGGACAGGATATATTTTGTAACTTAATGGAGAACAACCACCACCTCCCACTGGGGGAAAAAAAAAAGAAATGGGTTTGTGGGCAGTCAACCTGTAAAGTAGTTAAAATTCTGTGGAACCGCTAATCTTAACTGTTAGAGAAGCTGTTTCCTGTCTACATCCAGGATAAAGCTGTGAATACAAGCTTTTCTAGGACAGTTATGTACAGACATCCCCAGAGTGGACCATTGGTCCTGAAACACAATAGAGCAGCTGTCAACTGGCAGCTGACATCAAGAATTGGGAGGTGCTGCTTTTGGAAGTCAGGGAAGTACACACTGAACAGGAGATAATCAGTCTCTTCTCCCTGACCAAGAAAACCACTTCAGCTGCCTGAACCAGAACCTTCTGTATGCCACCAAATGAACCACAGTTCTCACTGGGGCTGGAAAGTAAATTTCAGCTACAAATGTGAACCAATCTAGTGTTGTATTATGCTTTCAAGTGTAAAAATATGACTAGTAGTTCTCAACGGCTTAACTAAGACACCTACATAACAGAAATTTAGGACTTCACTCAAAGAATTGAGTTAATAGTAACAAAATACTACGAAACAAAAAAAATGGAAGTAATTAGTGTTTTCATGACAGGCTCCTGGAAAAAGTCAAATTTCTCTTTCTTGTGATGCTGGGGATTGAACCTAGGACCTTGTGGGTATGAGGCAAGCACTCTACCAACTGAGCTATTTCCTCAGCCTCAAATCTCTTCATAAATAGGGATACTTAAAAATAAAATCCTTCCACAGACGAATTCATTAGCAATAAACACCAAACTGAAGGGGAAGAAGGGAATATGGAAATGATATGGGCAGAAAAATGTATGGGTTAAAATGACCAAATATTAGCTCACCCGAGCCCCACATATGTATGTTGTTATTCGACAAATAAAAATCCATACTGTTTTCAAATAAAAATGAAACAGATATGAACATTTACCATAATAAAACCACAAAGATAAATCTCAATAGATTCCAAAAAGTAAAAATCATACATTCCATCATCTCTGACTACAATATTCAAAAAACTAGAAAGTAACAACCAAAAGCCAATCTAAAATTTCTATCCCCTTTTTTGAGTAGGAGAAAACGAATAAATTTCCAGATTAATTTAATAGGAAGTGCAGTTAAGAGGATTATCTATCAAGAGAAGCATGCTAAGCACTAAAAGTGGGTGTTCTCTGCCCCAGGTATGTGTGTGGACAGTGTTTCTGTGATTATAGAAAAGTGAAGTTGAATTGCTTCAATCAAGCTGATATCCTTACACAAAACTGGAAATTCTTCAAAATCTTCAGAACTTCAAAAAAATTTAGAAAGTTTTTAGTTATGGCTTTGTGGAGTGCACTTGAATAAAAGATTTAAAAAGTGCTACTCAGCTTTAATCTAAATAAATTAAGCATATTTGAATGCTTGTAAATGAGGGCAATGTGCTCTTCTCAGTGTGTTCTCAATGACAATGAAAACCTTAGAGTCAGCGGGACTGTCAGTGCTTGTGAGAGGGAGGCAAACTGGGTGAAAATGAGGACTTCATTGCATGTGTTAGCACCTCAGTTTTCATCATCTTATCAAAGTTCAATTGCAACATTAGCTCTACATTGGATTTTATTGAAATATTTGCTTAAAACAGAGTATTGCATATTAATTATGTTAACATTTATATAATGCAAAAAGATTCTTAACTTTAAAATTAATAAATGGTATGTTATATGATTTGGGTATTTCTGTTTCATCAGTCTTGAAGTCATATGTTTTAAATGATTCATTTATAAACAACTGAATATTTTCCTCTTTTAAGGATTTGGAAACATCTCACCACGCACAGAAGGCGGAAAAATATTCTGTATCATCTATGCCTTACTGGGAATTCCCCTCTTTGGGTTTCTGTTGGCTGGAGTTGGAGATCAGCTAGGGACCATATTTGGAAAAGGAATTGCCAAAGTGGAAGATACATTTATTGTGAGTACCATAGATTTTAAGCTACATATATTTATTATTTCATTTTTTAAAAAAATATTATACCTTTTCTGCCACCTCAGATAGAGAGAAAAACTTAATTATTAGAGTTTCCATACTAGATTATATGTGTCTCTCTTAGCATATAACTCACTGTATTTTAATCAAATTAACACTTATTTGAGTGAATCAATTATTATATGAGAAAAACCCAAAAGTACACACAGGGAAATACAAAGTAGTAATCCAACAATTCTAGGTTCAAATTCCAGATGTACTGTCTCCTACCTATATTCTTTTAAATGATGTATTTTCCCCTCACACTTCCATTTTCTTTTCAGTTTAATAATATGAGTAAAAGTACCATAAGACAATACTCTCAGGATTGGCAGCAGGATAAATTAAACCTTAACGTTGGTAGTAAATGACTGATAATAATTTGTTATTTAAACATTTGCCTTAGTATCTTTGTGTACTCTTTAGTACTTTGTGTACTCTAAACTTATATAGCCCCTTTGGGAAGGGTGTAATAATAAGCAGTTACAGAAAAAAAGTGATCATGTCACTTAATTAAGAATGCCATTAATAAAAATTTATCTAAGGAATTCAGTAGAACCAAAGGTAGTACACATGAAAATGCTCATGGTTGCATGATATTCAGTAGAAAAAAATTAATAAGACAAAATTCTTTTATCAATGTTGTAAGAAAAAAATAATAATATACCTATGATTATAAGTTTTTTTTTCTTTTTTTTGCGGTGCTGGGACTTGAACCCCAGCCTTGCACATGCTAAGGTAAGCACTCTACCACTGAGCCACACCCCCAGCCTATAAGCTTATGTTCTTGAATCAAATTATAGAGGACTATGATAAAGAATGGGATTGCAAATTACCTACTGGTAGTAACAAATACATTTTAATTATTATTCAGTAATGTTTTACCTTTACACAAAAGTTCAACAAAATAATTACATGTAACTCTTTTGGTGAAATAAAACCTTTAATTATTAGTCTTCACTTTAAATGACTAGTCCAAATGTAGCTTTAGTTATGTTTCAGAATTAAGATCAAAGTTAGCTCAAATATTCTTACTATTAGAGTAGAATAAGACAGGTATTATATAGGTATTCAAAACCTCCTGTATTTATATTAATCAAGTGGCATGAACTTGGTAATGTTGAATTGTTCATTCATCCAGTAAGTTTTTTGACTTCCTGTCACATGCTGAGTAACGTTTCCCATGTAGCATCTACGTCAGTGCATTAAAGAAATAATCTATGCTCTCATAAATGATGTTATTCCAGCTGTCATGATTCAGCATTTGGTACTAACAACATTTGAAGAACTTTCTAAACCTGAATTCATTTAACCCTCACATATGAGAGGAACATGGTGGCTAGAGAGTCTCCTGTGATCCCTTTCTATGATCTGATCTCATAGATCTTTATCTCTAAAACATTCTTACACTCTTAACATTCAGTGATTTTCCCATGGTACAGGATATGATCTATAATTTTTACTGTACACAGGACATATACCTAGATGATATATGCACAACCTTCATTTAATACATTATAGTGTGCATTACACTTTCTTATTGGAGAGGAGGCAGAAAAACATAGGTGTGCTGAGGACAGCTGTGTCTCAAGATTGTTGAAGACATATGCTTGCCTACGGTTGTACAGATTAAAACCATAGAACTGAGGATGGTTCACCTGAATTACTTTCATGATTAATGTTTACCAATACACTATTATAAGTATGCAATTCTTGTTTCAATTTCCTCTTACTGTATATTTCTAGATTGTGTTTGGCCCATAATTAGTTGTATGCCTATAGAGTAGATATATTTCAAAAGTAGTTCAGATTAAAAAAATGGAATATTCTCAGAGCTAATGTAACATACTTTTGAAAGTATTTAACCTGTTGTAAAACTACGTAAGGGTAAATTAAAGTAGCATAATTACTAGCATTGGTTGTTTTGAGTTGGTTATGTTTTACCCAATTTTCATAAGCAAAGACAATTGAAAACTAAGAATAGAAAGGAACAAAATAACATGCTCAATTGCTGATTAACTGTGCATAGGTTAGCTTTGTAGGCATATCAATAATAAATCCACCAATATCTCTCTCTCTCCCTCTAGAAGTGGAATGTTAGTCAGACCAAGATTCGCATCATCTCCACCATCATATTTATACTGTTTGGCTGTGTCCTCTTTGTGGCTCTGCCTGCGATCATATTCAAGCACATAGAAGGCTGGAGTGCCCTGGATGCAATTTATTTTGTGGTTATCACCCTAACAACCATTGGATTTGGTGACTATGTGGCAGGTAGGTTATCCTGGCACTGCCATTGCTCTCCTAACCCATGTCTTCTAGTTAGATTTTTCACCTGGATTTGTAATGAAACACAATGACTACATGAGTTCCTTGGGGCTGCCATACCAAAGTACCACAAGCAAGGTGGCTTTTAATAAAAGAAAGTCCTTCTCATGAAAACTGGAAATGGAGGTGTCAGCAGGGCCATGGTCCCTGAGGCACTAGGCAGAATTCATCACTGCCTCCGCCTAGTGTCTGGTGAAGGCTGTCAGACCTTGGGATCCTTGTCTTAGAACTGCATTCCTGCCATCTCTGCCTCTGATGTCACATAGCCTTTTCCTTTGTCTCTGTCTTTGTGTCCAAACTCCCCTCTTCTTACAAGGACATCCATCAAATTGGGTTAAGGGCACACTGCATTCCACTATATCATGTTAACTAATGACATCTACAGATGTCATTATTTCCATGTTAGGACACCTTCTGGGGTCCTGGGAGTTGAGACTTCAACACATCTTTTTGAGGACACAGTTCAATTCATAATACTGGCAAAGACAAAAGTGACTCTGTTACACTGGAGATAAACAGAAGGATGTGGTTGAACACATTTTTTTATTCTGTGAAAGAAATGTAAATTGCTGGTTGTGCAGAATTTCACATTTCTACCTTAATTCCAGAAACCACGCATCTGCCTCTTAATTTTTTTTTCCCTAGCAGTATAGGAATTCAAGTTCAACTTATCTTTTGCCCTTTCTACTTACACCCTCTCTTGCCTTAGTTTTAAAATGAGATGCAAACTTTAGATGACATTTTTGGCTACTTAAAACTTCCTTTTCTATGTAGAATTTACTCATTTAATTTTCAGTTCTTAGGATGGTATTTTTGATTTTACCTAAAGAAGATCATGTAGTGTCTATATTTTTCTATTTACATTCTTTGATTTATCCTTTTACATGTATTTAAACCATTATTTTCTTTATCATTGCTTTTTTAGATTTTACTTTCTTATTTTTCAACTCTCATTTTCCTAATTACATTAACCAATAGTATTGTTACAGCTCCAACCTTAAGTAAATCATAATATTGGTTGTGAAAATAACTGTGAAAATGGTTCCTCATGGATCATTTTGACTAGCTCCCCCAAATATAAACCATTCTTAAAAAAATCCTTTTTGAAGTAATAGAAAAACATGGTAAACATAGTAGGACTATGTTATTAAACATTCTAGAGTCATCTCAACAGCATAATTTAAATTTTAAGAGAGGTTTTTTTTTTTTTTTTTTCTGGCTATTTGCCCTTTTTTCTTGACCTAAATTTCTTACGTAAATGTTTTCAGGAAAGAAAATATGTTTTGCAGTTCTATAAAATCTTAGAGAGGGCTGATAGTTCTCTGTTTCTCTTGATTTGTTAACTAGTATTTAACCTGGCAAACCCCTCCTTTGTGGGGAATGTGTAATGTCTTTGAAGACTGGGGATGCTTTCATAACCAAAGCTTTGCTTTTGGTCAGAAATACTATGTCTCTGTATAGGATGGAGGGGCTGTAAAGGAGAATTCTGCTGGAGAACTTTTAGTTTTATAATTAGTAAAACGGAATTTCAGACGTTTTAACTGCATGTAAGAAGACAAGCTTATGTCCTAAAATACCCATTCTTCCTTTATCTCCTTGAAGATGTATAACTGGCCCAAGAAATAAACAGTAATGTTAATGTTGGAGAAAGTAAGACACAGTTGATAACAGAAAGTATACTTCAGGTTCATTAATCTCGGGATGTCTTATGATTTTATAAATACAATTTATAAGGTCTTATAGCAATTGTGGAATATATAGGTATTATGTGGAAGTTTCATATTTTTAGGTTAACAGACTCATATGGTGTATGTTATTTGAAACTACTGACAGACTGTGTCAACCCAGTATGTTTGGTCTGAGACTCTCTCTAAAAAAAAAAACCTAAAAATTATAAATAAAAAAGTGTGGGTGGAATCTTAAAATAATATTGTATTTGTGACCACTATATAAACTGACTTGGTGGGGAAAACCGAATATTTTTACTTGATGGTTTTGTAGAAGATGAAGAAAATTTGTTTTTAGCTCACCTTAAGAGATCAACATTCTGGAATTGGCTGAATCATGTGGGTCTATTAGTGGTCACTCTCAACTGAGGAGAGGAGTTCAGTGAAAATAATCTTGTGTGTCTTGGTGGGACCCTGAATTCCGCGTCATAGCACAGTGTCATAGAACAGGGTGGCAAAATGATAGTTGGTTGCAGTTAAGTATAATCTAGAAACAACACTATTGTTACCAGGCTTTTATGATATTATAACCCTCATTAAGTGAATTGCTTTCATTTAATTTTCATTTTACAAAGGGAATAACTTAAAAATGGTAGAAATATATGTTGCTAATTATTACATAGTAATTTGATGATTAAAATGACAAATCCTGGGTAAGATAAATTAAATAGGAGGCTGATGAACACCAGGTTTGTTAACTCATCTCTTTATCTATTTTTTTTTCTTTTCTTTGTTTTTTTTTTTTGGCTCTTTTGCTCTTTGTGAAACTATAGAACTCAGTTCCAGGTACTCCAGAAATCACAAGCCAGATTTGTGTGCCCAGGGACCAATTTTGGAAAAGAGACAAGGGGGGTCCTGTGGCAAAGGCTGGGTGAATATCGTGCCCTGTGTAAGAATCTTTGGAGAAACAGAAATTGGCTGGGTGTGGTGGCGTGCACCTACAATCCCACTGACTCTGGCAAGAGGATCTTGAGTTCAATGCCAGTCTCAGCAACTTAGCAAAGTCCTAGCAACTCAGCTACTCAGCAAAACCCTGTCTCTAAAATTAAAAACACAACAAACAAAAACTAAAAAGGTTGGTGATGTGGCTCAGTGGTTAAATGCCCCTGAGTTTAACTCCCGATACCAAATATTGTAAGGTTTTTGAAAAGGAATTGCCTCATATAGTTCAGTAGAGGACACAAAATTAGCCTTTGCTTCTGGGGAGCTAAATAGAAAAAGAAATTATCCATTGAATTGAGGCAAGTTCTCCAGCTGGGAAATATCAGGTTATTTACTTTTAAGAACCTTCCTTCTTGCAATTAGAGGTTACGTAGACATTGTTCTCACTTAATTTTGAGATTCCCCCCCCCTCACTCCCCCAGGAATAACAAGAAGCATTACTCACACCTGAACCTTTTCATCTTTCTATTGGATTATAAGTCTTAAAAGAAAACAGAATTCTACCTTTCATTTTGTGTACTTACCACCTGGTGCCCTCAAAGCCTGCAAAACCTGCTCCAAATAGGATTAGGGTTCAGTTACATTGCTATATTCAATTTCTCTGAAGACATCTTAAAGAACATATTTTTTTCAAGTTGAGGTGTTTGTCATTAAAGGGAAAGAATTAAATTTTGGAAAGTGATCTGTAAATGTTTAGGAGACAGGTTGCAATATACCCGTATTTCTGAATAGAGAAGTCATCCTTAGGAGCGTCTCAAGAATAGCAAGTGATGAAGAGATGTAGATCAGGGCTCTGAACTAGTGTTCCTCCACAGAGAAGGAGGAAGAAAGTCCATGCAGGTAGACTTTTTGCCATGGGTAGAAAATAGGACAGTTCTGTTCTATGTATTTTTAAATCTCATTCCTTATGTTGTAATTTTTAATTTTTTATGTTTCTCCATGTCCACACCAGACTACACTAAAGTGGAACACATTTCTAATTCTTAAATGCATATATATTTAGATTTGCTCATGTAATACTTTTCCCACTGCTGGCGATGTTCAGTCAAAAGCATTTAGAAACTACCAGGACAGATGAAAAGGCTGTGTTCAGGGATCTCTGTGTATCTGACTGAATATAGGAACCCAGCTGGGAGTACATTTTCTGCATAAAGAGATCTCCCAGCAGATTTTCAATTTTATATTTCCGTTTCTATTTCTGCAGGGGACATGTTGTAGTGGCTGGCAGATGACCTTAGTGATTGGTATCTAATTCTTCTTGATAGCCCTTTGTCCTCTCACCAGTGTTTTGGGGCTAAAAGGGACTTGGGAGGTCACAGGGTTTAAAATATATGAATAAATACATCCTCATTGCTAAGAGGAGTGAGTACCCCGTGATTCCCTAAAATGTGAGAAAAAATGATTTAACAAAATGTCCCTTGATTGATTTTTTATGAGTGCCTGTGATTTACGGTCAAATTTCTAGTTGTAAAGCTAATTATATTTGAGAATTAATGTTGGTTTTCTATGTTCTGTTTTTAATGTCAGTTGTTTTATTATTCATTTGTCCAGAAATCTGGGATGATACATCGTTAACCCATGTTTGCCTCAGACTTGCCTTATAAACAGATCTGAATCAGCTTTTCTCCTTTAAGAGCTAAGAAGTAATATTAATCATATAAGAAATGTGTGAAAAATTATCCTTGGTTTATTCAGGCTTGCTTTCACAACTTGCTCTCTTGTTCCATACATGACTGTAAAAAATATAATAACTATTAGTTGACAATAATAAAAAATTGAAGGAAAGCCAAATAATGACCTAGTTCAACACAATTTGCTGGGAGCCATTAGCCAAGTAGGTATGACAATTTCCTTGCCAGCGTACCCCATGTTGCTTAGTGGAAGGACTCGTGGAAATAGGACATTTTGCAGTGACATTGCATGTAGGTGACCTTGCTCAAGGATCAGGGCGGATTAGGGTGTTCCTGGTTTAGGATAATCGGGTTTAGGGCGTTCCCAGTTTAGGGCGTTCCAGGTTTAAGATTATTCCTGCTGGGAATAGGGCATATCCTGCTGCCTGAGTTCCCCTTGAGTTCTCACGGGATTCAGACAGTATTTTTTGGGAGATAGAAGCCCAGTGGAGGTGGATTTGGGCAGAGAACGTGGATTTCCCCAGAACGTGATTGTAGACGGCTGGTGTGAGTTCGGGAATAAAGAGTTGCTGTTTGAATCTACAAGCTGTGTGGTGGCTCGTGATTGTGTGCCCAGCCAGACTGCGGCAACAATTTATAATTCCTT